AAAATAACCCAAAGAATTGTGGTGATTCCAAAACTATTTAAAAAGAACTCCTCTACTAGTTTCCACAGCATTTGCCATCGGATGACATAGGAAGGTTCCTCAAGTGAACTCTGGTCATAGATTATCATAATCACCGTCAAAGGAAAACCAAATGTATTTAAGGGAATTAGAATGTACAAGGCATAAAAAAAATCCACAGTGACTTTCTGTACAAGACAAAATTCCTCCCCATAGTCACACACTCATCAACTAATGAGTAGCTATAGTAAAGGGCAGCTCGGGGGGGGGAGTCAGTTAATTCATACCAAAGAACGCCAGCACATCCACAGGCCAATGTACTATTTACTATGAGATTTGAAGCTCCAAAGATGGAACAGGTCGGGTTTGTTGAGAAAACTTTAAAAAGTGAAATACATTTCCTTCAAACAATGATCCTTATGCACTGTTGATTAGTATTACTGAGGGATTTGTCATCTCTTTCTCTCTCTGCGTTGGCGTTAAGATTTATATGATAAAAAGGTAAAATTTTAAAATAATCTGCTTTGACAGTAGAGAACAAAAGGCTGACCCTTTGCATCAAAACAGAATCAGTCTTTGCCCATGAACTCCTGCTCCAGCCCTCCAAACAGTGATTCCTGGATGCCTCAGACAACAAATAGGTGCATTGAAAATAATGATAATGATAATTAATAATAATAATAATAATAAAAATAATAATAATGTGCTCTCTGGATGACGCATGCAAGACAGCCAAGTCAATTTGTATTACATTAAGCACCAGGTTGTTCAGACATTACAGTATATTCTAATTCTCAAAGTGTCTTCCCCACTTCCTAGTGCTGCTCAACAATGTTTCAAACTAACCATAGAAGACACAAGCTCATAAAAGTGTGATTAAGCTTTCCTGCCCATGTATACTTATGATTAGCTCAAGGCAGTACCAAGTCATTAGGAACCCGAAGGTGAGAGTTCATCTCCAGATCCTAGTCAGTCCTCTTCCCCCCAAAGTCCCTAGCTGTTTGCTGTTGAAAACAGCATGCTGGAGACGGACTAGATCATGGGTAGGCCAATCACCTTCTAAATCCGGCCCGTGGATGGTCCGTGAATCATCATGCTTTTACATGAGTAGAATGTGTCCTTTTACAGTCATACCTCATGTTATAGACGCTTCAGCTTACGTGTTTTCGGGTTGTGGACCGCGGGAAACCCGGAAGTACCGGAATGGGTTACTTCCGGGTTTCGCCGCTCATGTATGTGCAGATGTGCTAAATCACACTTTGTGCATGTGCAGTAGCACCAAATCGCGCCTGCGCAGACGCGGTACTTCAGGATGCGAACGCTGCGGGTTGCAGATGTGCCTCTGTCACGGATTATGTCTGCAACCCAAAGTTCCACTGTATTTAAAATGCATCTCTGGGTTATTTGTGGGGCCTGCCTGGTGTTTTTACATGAGTAGAATGTGTGCTTTTATTTAAAATACATCTCTGGGTTATTTGTGGGGCATAGGAATTTGTTCATTTCCCCCCCTTCAAAATATAGTCCAGCCCCCCCACAAGGTCTGAGGGACAGTGGACCTGCCCCCTGCTGAAAAAGTTTGCCGACCCCTGGACTAGATGGACCTTGGCATGATCCAGCAAGGCAATTTTTGTGCTAGTCACTTAAATAAGACATAGTCCCCATGTTTGGCTACTTTTCATCCAAGTTCCAGATAGTCAAAAAGCGTATGCAAAAGCCCCCAAATTTGGCATTTAGACTCCAGTGAGCAGTGCAGTCCCTGAGCCCCAGCTACCCAAAGGATACAAATAAAAAAGGCTCCCATGCTTTGACAGCAAAGTCAATCCCACGTCTGGCCTGACAATACTTGGAAAGCTCCCCAACTAGTCTCAGCTAAAGCTTGAGCAGACTCACTTTATGTTACTGATAAGGGAACCCAGTGATGGGTCATAAGGGGGAGGGGACAGAAGAAGTGGTGTCATTTCAGTGGCAGCACTATGCTCACAAGAGCAAGGGCAGGGCGGGGTGAGGCAGTGTCATTGTGGGGGAGTTCTAGGTTGTTGGTGGCTCCACTAGGGGGGGGCTACATGCAGGGCTGTTGCCACCACCAACCTGGAGCTCCCCAGGGTACTCTGCCTCATTTTAATGAGTGACGTGCCTCCATCACCAATTGGATGCCGCTGTCCTCCCCCCCCCCCCACAAATGACCTACTGCTGGAGCAACTTATGGCCCCCCAGATGTTGTTGAATTACAACTCCCATTATTCCTGATCATCATAAGCAATAAAAGGGCATCTGGAGGGGGCCTTTCTCTCTTCCTGCTGTTGGTGCTTAACCTCTTCTACTGGTGCAAAGTACTAGTGGGATTCCTCTTTATCCAGTGACATAATGGTAGTAGTAAAGGTAAAGGTACCCCTGCCCGTACGGGCCAGTCGTGTCCGACTCTGGGGTTGCGTGCTCATCTCGCTTAAGAGGCCGGGAGCCAGCGCTGTCCAAAGACACTTCCAGGTCACATGGCCAGAGTGACGAAGCTGTTCTGGCGAGCCAGCACCAGCGCAGCGCACGGAAACGCCGTTACCTTCCCGCTATAAAGCGGTACCTATTTATCTACTTGCACTTGGAGGTGCTTTCGAACTGCTAGGTGGGCAGGAGCTGGGACCGAACGAACGGGAGCTCACCCCGCCGCAGGGATTTGAACCGCCGACCATGCGATCGGCAAGTCCTAGGCACTGAGGTTTTACCCACAGCCACCCGCGTCCCACACACGTCAAGCGCCACCCGCGTCCCACATAATGGTAGTATACACCACCAAAGCTCCAGCAAATGAATGTAAAGAGGATACCTGGCCGGCTGTGTGGGGAGCTCCTTCCACCTAAGCATCTGTCTGTCTGTCTGTGTGTCTATCAATCTATCTGTCTGTCTGTCTGTCTGTCTGTCTGTCTGTCTATCATCTGCAGTGACACTTTTTACAACTGAGGGGGGGAAAGTGAAATCTTCATTCGACCAATATATGCTACTGAAGGACTATGCACAGATATTGAGTTCACAGTACTCATCGGGCAGGCAGACTGGAAAGAACAGATGAAAGTACAAACGCTTTTAGACAAGATGACTTGGTGTCCTTAGCAGCTGAGATGCTGCTATATTGCCTATTTATTTCTCTCACACTTCCAGCCCATCAGCAGCTCTCTATATACTGAACATCACCACGGTACACATCCTTGATAGAAGCATATATTTATGTTTTCCTTTATATATTTCAGAAATGGCATACAGTAACTGCATAAGAGTAAAATAAACCTAAAAGCACAGGCTGGATGACCTGTGAGTTGAGATTCCTGCAGTGCAGGGGGTTGGAGTTTCCTTCTAATCACTATGCCCTGAAACCCCTTCACCACTTTTCAAATGTGGCTTTACTGAAATCAGCTGAAGTTTTCCAAATGATTTAATGTGTTTTTATTATGTGCTTTTTATAATTTCATAATTCATGATCCAGCAAAAACCATTAATTTAAATGTGAGAGCTTTGCATACATTTAAATCTCTCTTATTGAAATCAGGGGGATCTAAAAGTGTTTAACTTTTACCAAACTAACTAGCTGCTTGTTAGTGGTCATTGTACATTTTGGCAGCAATTTAATCCATCGTGCAGATACACATAATTGGTATACACATAACTGGGTCTGTTCAGCTATGGATTCTGCTTGCATTTCAGCCACTAAATACCCACACATATGATAAGATTTCAATTATTGACCTTTTGGTCCCTGGACCTTGCTGCAAAACTCGTCAAAGTCTCTGTGGATGCTAATTATGAATCCATATTTAATTATTTGTGGATGTGTAAGAATAGAATTCCCTCACTTCATGGATTTAGGCAGCACCAATTAAACAAAAATGCAATTAGGGCTGATTCTCATACGTAGTAGATGTAAAATGACCAATCCTGATGATGTATTTTCTTCAAGTAATAAACCTCTGAGATTGGCAAAATGAAAGTGTCATTTGCAACCCCTTTGCAGAAGTGTTTATCAAACGAATTACAGAGAAACTGGAATATGAAAAGGTGGTAATTAAAAGAATTCATGGAAGTGCCACAGAATGAATGAATATTCATACACCATCATGAGCTTTAATGCTTCAAGTCTGATTTTCATTTCATATTTATAATGTCAATCTGGAGTTGCAGAACTTTGTGATTACCTTTTCAGGGTTTACTGAGGTCTTGAGACAACAAACACTCCCCCCCCCAATAGGTAGATGGATGGATATAGGTACAGATTTTCACTTAGATGACATAGAAAAATACAGGGGGAAATTACCTGGCTCCATCTAGGGATGAAATTTGGTCCACTTTTCACAGGGGATCGACATGATCTGATGTACCTGAACTTGCTTGAGAAATGGAACACAACTCCCTGCTGGCTTATGTATTTTTCTGCATTATGCAGTGCATTTTTGGTGCGTAAACACACAAATATGTTTTTTTTATGGCTCAATGTATTGAAAATAATTGATAAACTTTGGGTAAAAAGTGTCTACAAAAGGCATACAATGAGAGAGAATAGCTTGCAAGCAAGGATTGATTCCATTAGCCCACCACCAACTCCAGCAACTAGAAAGAGTTGGTAAAGTGCTTATTGATTACCAAAAGAGTGGAGATTATTTATGTTGGTGATCATCATGATTAGTAGGTACAATCAGGCTGCAGTAAAGCACTTTTAAAGTGTGTAGCTGAATGTTGCACACAAGCATAGGCTGATGTCCGGTTTCTTCACTACAAGGCAGTGTTTGGAGGGTGTGATTATGAGCAGAGGGGTTGATGGAGGGGAACTTTTCTGATACAAACCAACCCATTTTTCCAGTTAAGCAATAAAAACACAAAAAATGTGCAAAAGTCCAAAGTCACAAAGTTCCTTTGTTGTTTTTTGAACAAGAATACCACTGCTGTTTCAAGAATGAGTTAAGAAAAGGTAAGTACAATATTGCATTAAGAGTTCTGAAACTTACTTTGTCTAAGTGCTTTCTGCTTCCTCTTTCCCCTCAGGTGGTTTCCAGTGGATTCCTGATGCATGACGATGATGTTAAATTTCACAAACACATATCTGGAATCAAAGTGGAAAGAATTTATTTTATATAGCTCCTCAGCCGTATTGTTTCCATTTGTATATAGTAGTGAACGCTCAACTCTCCTACGGCCGAAACTCTATGCAGTTTCAAAGAGTGTAGAGAGGTTGCTAGCTGGAACATGATCATATTATGCCAGTGTTTAGTCAGTCTGTTTGGGGGCCAAATTAATAGTGTCATTTAAAGCCCTAAAGATTTGGGGTCAGGTTTCCTGAAGGATCACCTCCTCTGGAACTTATTTTACCTACATGGAGCTTCAGAGGCTATTCTTTGGGTGTCTCTCTACCAAATGACTTATGATGGGAGTTTACTAGAGACTTGACATTTTCTGGGCTGGCACCCTGGTTATGGAATGCCCTTCCCAAAGACGCTTCCCTGAAGTCTATGTTGCAACATTTTGGTGCTGCATTACAATCTTCACACCCACCCACACATCCATAGCATTTCAATCTTAAAAACCTTTTAGTCAGTAATCCTAAATTCACTGACCCCAACCCCAATTCATGCACCCCCATGTGCAGATTTGTCATTTTAATGATTTACAGATTCTCTGGATTTTTTCCCCCAGTGAAGGGCACTGCTATGAACTCTGTTCTATGGACATTTCCTTCTGCTGAATTCATTTTACTTATGGTTGCATAAGTATATTATATTCATTTTTTAAAAAAACTTTTGGCGTCCAGAGCAATGAACTATAAATATACTAAAAGTGGTACCACATGTGGTGGGGTGGAATCTCCAGCATCACTTCTCCTTACATGGGTGGGGCAGTAGCAGGGCCAGGGTTGCGCAGATACACTGGTGTTCCTAACTTGTTGCCTCCCTGCCCAGGCCTTGTCCATGTAGAGTAATGTCAGGAAGATGGTTCTTCCTCACCATACACACCATTACTGATCAGAAATACCTTTTAATATACGTGTGAAAGTGCTTAATTTGGTTTGCACTCCTTCATTTTTTATTAAATATTGCTCTAGCATTTAATTGTTATGAATCTAAATTCTCCAGCATACCTAAGGGGTAAGCTGTTTGAAACTGAGCTTGGAAATCCATACCCCAACTAGATTGGTGAGTTCATGACCATAGAGAGCTTAAACCCATTATTCATATTCAACATCCAACACATTAGCAGCAATGGCCAAAGTTGACATCACATCAAGAGTTCATGTTGTCCGCTGTTTTCTTTAAAACTTTAAGAACAATGCAATATCGTGGCCCTATTTGCGCATTGAAGCCACATCTGGCTTGTTTGTGGGGTAAAATATGCAGCGTATAGGTGGAGAACCTGTGGCATTCCCATGATCCCTGATCATTAGCCACATTGGCTTGTGCTGACGGTAGTTGGAATCCAGTAACATCTGAAGGGCCATAGATTCCCCATGCCTGGTATAGGAGATCCCTGCATTGATGCCTTTGTGCAATTGGGAACCTTGACAACACAGGATTCCCAGTCCCAAAGAGGCAACTGCATTCAGCTGAATATGGTTGGAGCTCCCTTCAGACCTTTGCACTCAGTGCATGAATGTGTCCTCTTGGAATTGGGTTTTGCAGGCAGGGTTTCTGCACACAATGCCACAGCAATCTGCACATATTCACTTTGAATGCCTGAAAAGAGCTTATGTCTGCATCAGATTCATTTTCTTAACCCAGTAACACACATCTCTGTTACAACTGTTATTTAGCTCAGCCGAACCTGAACTAACTGCACAGCGAACTGGGTGAATAAACGTGTGTCTCTAAATTGACTGGGTCTGCTATTAGTTGTTCATAAATTCTTCTCCTATGGGAGTTTATAGAATGTGCAGAGACCAAAAAATGTCATACTTAGAAAAATCTTTGAGCACACAAGTTTAAATTTGCCTCTCGTGATAATTGTTATATGGTATTGGGGGAAACTGAAATATGTTAAGGGCCCACTGAATGAATTATTAAATCCACTTGAACTTTCAAATTATTGACTATCATGAGAGAATGGATTCATATAATGGAATTGGCTGTAATGAAATTCATAATATAAGCAATTAGAATGGATAAAAAATTGATTCTTTCTTCTAACATGTATTCTCCTTTGACATCACTTTCACTATTTTTGATATCTTCAATGGGATCACTAAATGCTCTGTTCAAGATGTGACTGGCATCAGTGAAAAGGAAACAAAAGCAATCACTTTTCTGATAGAGACTGCAGTGCAGAAGGGGGGAAAACCCAAGCTTTTCTAGAAAAATATACATTACTTATGAGTTTCACAAGGATGGAGCCAGACTTTGCTTCCTGCAGATAGAAAGGCACATGATATAGCAGAGGAATTATTCTGGCAAAATGCTGAAGGGGGTGGTTTTCATCATTTACCCACTCCCTGCAGCTCTCTATACCTCCCATCTTTTCTGGGAGGTCGGGGGACCCTCCAAAATAGTATGAAATAGTATGAAGTATGACATAGTATGAAGTTTAAAAGGTGGCACTGGGAGCTTCAGGGAGGAGGTGATATTTCCTCCCTCCCTTTCTATCAGTGGGGGTGCCCATGTGGAATTCTGCCCATATGATATAGACAATAGCAGGTCCAAACTCTAGATTGAATGAATGAATGAATGAATGAATGAATGAATGCCTGTCATTTCCTCTATGGAGCTTAGTGTGTTGGGCATGGAGATTACCCATTTTTAGGCTAGTCTACAAGTAACAGGCCCACAGTTGCCCACTGAGCCTCATACTAAGCAAAGACTGAAACCTGGGCCTTCCTGGTTGAAACTCCCAACACACACCAACACCACCTCACAGGTGTGTTATTCACAAAAGAGCAGTGTGTGTCTGAGCTACAGAATACATTGAAAGACCAAGGTGACTTCAAACTGATTGTGTTACACATCTAATAGTAAATAAAAGCTACTTTAGCCATCAAAATGTCTTGAGCCAGCACCAGTACGGACAAATTGAACTGTATGCACCATAACTGCTACATATAAATTAGAGTCGGCAGTGGCAAACACCAGGAGCAGCTTGCTTCGTGAGGCATAGCTACAGCAATCCCCCCCATCAGTATCACTGCCGCATACTAGGAAAGGGGGACAAGGTTGGGGCTGCACACAGACATATAAGCTATGTTAGCGCACCTGCACACCCCAACCACACCACTGTCTCACCCCTCACTTTAAGTGACAGTGATGCTGCGGCTGGGAGGCTATTGCCACGGTTCCATACCCCCCTCTCCAAGCAGGTGGACTGCTCCTTGCAAATACTGTGTAATACGAAGTGCAGGATACATGTTAGAGTAAGAAAGCACAAGAGAATCTAGCCAGCTGCAACTCCCTGCTGAACAGGTTTCCCCACCTGCTTATAATAAGGATGGACAGATCAGCCTATTTCTGGCCCATGACGCTTGTCTCATACCAGTTCCACATTTATCTGCTCCTGCCATCATTAAATCATCATTTATTTATTTATTTGGGTGAAAGATGGGACCTTTTTGTTGTTGTTAAGGCAGTCCTTGGAGAACTGCACTGCAAAATTTGGAGAGGTGCAAAATCTGAAGGATAGCTATGTTCCGATCTGCATATTAGTCTGGGAGGTACAGTTCAGATCTGTTAGCTCCAGAACATGCACAGACTGAATAGTTTAAAAACAAATCTCAAAATAACTTATCTCCGCACCTTATACAAACACCAGTGTGCAAATGACAAATAGATTTGTTATGTAAGGGTCAAAAGGAATCTGAATATAGACATATCATACTAGACTAAACACATCTAAGACTAAAGCCCTCTTCAAACATTCAATAATAATAATAATAATAATAATAATAATAATAATAATAATAATAATTACCCCGCCCATCCGTCTGGGTTTCCTCAGCCACTCTGAGTGGCTCCCAACAGATTAAAAACAGACTAAAACATCAGACATTAAAAACTTCCCTAAACAGGGCTGCCTTCAGATGTCAGTAAACATGTGAAGGGAACCATGAGGAAGAGTGTCTACAGCCCTGTTACTATTCCAATTGCCCTCGATGAATTGAAAGGCAATCATCTGAAGCAAAGAGCATCCTGTAACCATTGAGACTTCTTGTACATCTTAGAACTCCGGGAAAATCGATTGAAAAATAGTGGAGAATTCCTGCAAATAGTCACCCTCCACAAAGAATAGCGATGGAGGCAGAATTAAATGCTTGTCCCTACCCTGCCTTATCAGTTGCTTGTCAACTATGCTGCTCCAAAGGATTAATACTGAGTTGTTAATATAAGGAAGAATTGGCTCTGCAATTTAACCTGAAGTGAAATTGGATGGGGAACACTTGGGGATGGAAACACTCTGAAAAGATTTCAGAAACAAGAGGGGTCCCCACTCCATCCCAGACACAGTTTTAAAAGCAACATTTTTACAGCTTTAAATGGGCTTATAAAAATCATGAATGGTGTGAAAAAATGGGACAGAGATAAATGTTTCTTCCTCTCTTATAAGACTAGAACTTGGCGTCACTCAATGAAATTGTTTGGCAGTACACCCAAGAGAAATTTCAGTTCAAGTAGGGTCCAAATCAAAACTGGAAATTCCTCCTCTGGCCAAATGTTCAAGAAATTTTGACAATAGCCAAAAGACACCTGGAAAGGTCAAGCAATATTTCAGGGAGGAGAGAGTGGGTCATCAGACACCCTTATTAAAGGTGTCAGGAAATAATGTTTTTGTATTTTCTTATAATAAAATTTATAGGCAATTCTGACTTGAAAATCAAGGGAAGTGCACCTGCTTTATTTCAAAGCAATGAATTTTATACATAAGGCAAAAATACATTTTGGTTCACTCATGACTTCAGAAAGTGCCAATTTGATAAGATTCCCCTTTGAATGTGAACTGAACTAAATTTCTTGTCCATCTCTAGCTGAGTATGAGTAGTGGACAGAGACCAAAAGTACAAGTGTCAGTTCAGATGACATGCGGAGCCAAATCTTGGGTTAGTATGGCACAGCTTGGCAGCAAAAGAGAGCA